TACACCAATAACAGCTATAAAAGCGATCATTTCTCTTTCTCTCTGGCTGCATTCTTGCAGTCATTGATAAATACTGTGAGAGCTGTGATTGGTCACAGCTTGTCACATGGTACACAGCTGTTGTGAAATCTGTGAATGATCACAGAGGTCACATGGTACAAGGCTATTCACAAGTAGTAAGAAATTATGTCAGAAGTGACATCTTGTCTACTACTATTCATGTGATCACTGATTGCCCAATCAGTGATCACATGATCGGGACCTCACACAGAGGTGCCGTGCACTCCCAGGGAGCCCGCACAGGCTAAAATGGTGGGCGCCCGTTATGAACGGCAACCCGCTCCTGCACTGCTCCCGTCTGGCCGTTTATACACATGGGCTGGACGGGAAGTGGTTAAGAAAGGTTGACTTTAAAGAAAACCCCTAAACCTAACCAAGTGGCCTCATAAATAGAAGTGTCTAAATGAACTTTCTGTGCTGCTTATCCAACTAAAAGGGAACTACTACATTTTTAGCCTTAAACTAGCAACCTGACTTTCTGCTGCTGTTTTTTTTTTTTTTTTTTTAGATCCTTTTATCCATGTCACTCATATACTGGCAGCAGATCTGTTTACATTTACAGGAGCTTTTGAAAACAAACTGATGCTGCAGTCTCTTGAATAATGCCAAGTAGGCAGATGTTAAAAGGCAATGCCTGCATGTACAGCTCACACATTGCCCTGGAAGCCTCAAACCTGAAGCACTCCTTTATTCATCTCTTGATCAATATCTTTAATTGTTAGAGAGTGTGGGCCTGAGCTCTCCATCAAACTGGCCAGTGAAGCCTACCATAGTTAATGGCCAACTGTCAGATGTGGGCAGAAGAGGGCCCAAAATCTGTGTAATAGGGCACCTGGAATGTTGGGGCATCTTGGGCCTGCAGTAATTTATAGGTGCCAGTCTTCATTTCTCCTATTTAGTCAGCAGACCTAAAATGATCATAGAATCATATTGATAGAGCCATATGAAAAAGTAAGTGCATCCTATTCAAATTGAGTTTTCCAACATATTTGAACAGGCAGACATTAGATCTCGATTCAGACAGTGCCTACAGATAAAATGTGTTAGTCTTGAACAAACGACACATAAATTTACTTTATTTTCATGAATTTAGGTAATGAAATTACATATCTGTCATACGGGAAAAAAGTACACCCCAATTTGCCACCATTAAAAAATCCATGAAAATTAGAATTACAGTATGTGTTCCAGATTAGAAGCCAATGACTAGAACCTTCTTAAAACCCACTTGACTGCATCTGGTGTAAATGAGCCTTAAATGCAGCAAAACCAAAGTACAAATGCAGTGCTTTCATGTGTGTTTTAAAACAGTACAGCATGCTGCAATTTTTTTTGCACTGGAACGCACCGAAAACTGAATGCACGCAAGTGTGCATGAACATGTGAAAATGCAGGTAAATGTAGCTTAGTAAAGAAAGTAATCAAAAACATTATTTAAAAAATGCACTGCAAATGTGCACAAAGTGAAAGCGAGAATGGTGGTGTAAATGAGCACTTAGGGAGTATGCAAGTAGAATAACCTTGGATTTCTAGGGTCTGTTGTCTTGTCATCTCTAAGTCCCGCAAAAAAAAAGTTGTGGATACACACAAGTCTCGCAAGGGATTTCAAAAGATTGAGGAAAAAAACTGAAATCAAAACGTAGTGTAGCTTTTAATCAACTTTATCAAATGTATCAAAGACTACCAGATAAAGATTGCACCAATTCAACTGCCATGAGAGGTGTCTTGAGGAGAAAAAAAAAATGCTCTCAAAAACAGAGCAATTTTACAGTTTGCATTTATGTTAAATGACAAACACCAGGGCATCTGAAAAAATGTGCTGAAGATGGATCAAAGTGAGAATATTGTTACCATAGTAACATACATTCTTTGGAGAATGAAGATGATATTTCAAGAGAAGTACCTCATAAAAACTGTGAAGCATGGTGGAGGAAATGTTATGCTTTGGGGTTGCATTTCTGTTTGCAGTCAAGTCAACTAAACATTCTGCATTACATCAAAGTGTGCCTAATGAGAATCTGAGGTCGTCTGTCTGAAAAGTTGAAGATGAAACCAGGAAAGGCTTTCAAAAAAAGCAATGATCTGAAGCACACAGGTAAATCCAACAAAGAATGGTTAGAAAATAGAAGAAATATAGGGTTATGGGATGACTAGAAGCCTTGATTTAATAACCATTAAAAAAAAAAGTAGTTCCTGAAAGGAAAACCACAAAAAAAAAAAACAAAAAAAAAAAACGAAATTTTGCATGGAGACGTGGTCATAATTTAACTAATCAAGTGGTCAAAAGTTTGATGTCAGACTGGTGGGCAATTATATTAGAAATAATTTCTGCTACAGGGGACAATACCAACTTTTAATGCCAAGGTTGTACTTACTTCAGCAGTACAGCATTATATCTATTGATATTTTTGTTGAATTATTAAGGTGGCCAATATTTCTTGTTTTTTCAAATATAATCACCTTTACTTGTAGACACTGTTAGAATAATGATCTAATATTGCTCCAAATGTGCTGAAAAAGTCAGTTTCCATGGGGTGCATTTAATTTTTCACATGACTGTATTGGAAATGTATACAGCCTTATTTACAAAGATTATATTTTACTACTTACAGCAGACTTGGTTTTCAGAGATTCTACAGGACACTGCAGGCAGCCTCTATTATATCACTAATACTACTTTAGCAACTGAACAGATAATTACTTAAAGGGAAATTATAGTGCATTTTCAGTAAGGGCAAATCTGAGCAAATCCTGCAGCAATTAACTAGATGTGATATTTATGACATTCTCGTTTTGCATGCATTTTATATACACATTTTTAGAACCTCCCTCTAGTGGCTTTGTATAAGAGAGGCTTCCCAACATCTCAATAATCTACCAATATAAATTCAATTCGTCACACAGTGGTTTTAAATTAGTCTGAGCAGACAAATCTGTACCGAGACAGAATATAAGTAAAGGCAATCAATATACAACACTCTATAACTGGAATGGAGAGCCACCATATATTAATGAGAAATTATGATTTGATCCTAAAACATATACATTCACATTTTCTGAATTAATTGCCAGGATTTGCTATATTGAGTTGATTCATTAAAAAAAAAAAAAAAAAAAAAAAAAGACTATAAATTCCCTTTAAACAGGTTTTCTATTCTGTGTAGGATGCATCTTTGGTTTCTAATGTATTAAAACACTACTATGCATGTTCAGTTTCATGGTTTTTTTTTTTTCCAAAACAGAATACCACCAAACACCAAACCATGGAGCAACACCTAGGGAAAAAAAACACAAGGCCAGACAGGACATCCAAAATGCTCGGAAGGAAATTTGGTTTATTAAATATTAATAAAAAGTGGCTTTGTTTATTCAGAACAAAATTAGTTTTAAGGGGGGATTCAAACAAACACCAAGCTGCAAAATAAAGGTTTTACATCTAAAGCACATCACACAACAAAACTGCTCCTTTGTGAACCTGGTACACAGTGGCCTTCACAAGAGCTGAGCCCTAAATCAGATTGCTCTACGATTAGTGAAAAGAAATGGCCTACCTCCCTTTTGTAAGCAGAATAGTTTTGATATTGAGCACTTCACATTGACTTTATATAACTCACAAAAATGCAATTAGGTCATAAATTATGTATTTAAGGAAAAAGCAAGCAAAAATAATCTAATTTTCAGCCTGCTCAAATATTACAAATCCCTTCCTCCAGTGTCTTTTCCTCCTGGGCATTAAGCTGGTTTAGTCTGAAGTAACAAAACAGTGGTCCACATGGCTATTGCGTGTAATATATATAAAGATTTTTTTTCTTTTACGGTTTTTCTACCAAAGGTTTTTTCAATTTTAAACAACCAGACTTGTGATTTATAAAAATCTGCTTCAACACACAGTCAGACGGGTGACATTAAGATCCTAATTAAGCATTTCCACTTCACGGTTCACCAATACGGCTACTTCGGTCACTTCTCCACCTCCCCATTTGACATCTAAGCAGTGTGTATTATAAGAATGGCTGGATAAAAGTAAGAATGATTTAGCAAAAAAAAAAAACAAAACAAAACAAAACAAAAAAAAAAAAAAAAACTTTACATGTATTTCAACCCTCCAATTTGAAAAAAAAAGGCCTTGATGCTTCCATGCTATGGTGGCATTCAGGCCAACCAATACTAGCAAAGCAGCAGCCATTCAACAATGACTCTGAGCAACAAACACAGGTAAAAACAGTCTGCACCATGCCCTGATTGTATACAATCTTCATTCAATATTTCCCACTTTACCTGAATGTATAGCACATGGAGGGAAGCAATAAGCTTTGGACTGAAGATTGCTCCATTAAAAGGTCAGATTGGACTCTAAAAAGCCCATTCTGCCCATGAATCACAAAAACAATGTTAAAATAACATTGTCTGACATTCTTTAAAATCTTCTATAAAACTGCACAATTCTCTACATTCTTGCTCTGACTGGACTTCTTTATTAAATGGAAAATAAACTGATTTTTGAGATGGAAAAAACAACCAATGCTTGCCCATTAAAAACATATATACAAAGATTAAAAAAAAAAAAAAAAAAAAAAAAAAAAAAAACTTTTAAAGTTGTAAAGGCTTTCTGGGATGAATGCTAAAAACAGAACTTTTGGAATAATTAAAAAAAACACTAGCCTTCTATGCGATCTTATTTTTAACAATAAAAGAGAAATAGAAAACATCTTTATAAAATATATCAATATACAAATTAAAATCTTAACAGTCATGTTTAAGGCAACGGCAAAGGATGGGGAGTCCCTCCATCTGTTCAAATCTATCCTTTGGACATGTGAGGTGCCTCATTGTGGCAACACAGGGAACAGCAGCAACCCAGCAAAGAAATACTTTCAAGTTTATCTCAGCATGATAGCTCTTCCATCTTTTAATGACCAATCAATATATATGTATCTATTTTAGATATAAGTTACTGCACCTTTACTGTTTTTCTCTAGAGTAATATCTATGTATGATGTGGGGACATAGCCCTCCTCTCCATTCTGTCGTCTTGCTCTTGTCCAGCCGTCTCCTTTATCTTCCTCAATAATGTACATAACTTCACCTTCTTTCATAGACAGGGTGCCTTCATTGTTACCTACGCAAAATAAAAAAAAAATTCATTACATAAGATTTAAAGCCCTTTCACACTGACCAGGTTTTCGTCCATTTATTGCCTTACCAAAACTAGAAGAAAAAATGCATGACCATTAAGACCCATGGAACTCTTCACACCAGTCAGTTGTGGTTCAGCTATGTTTTTAAAAGTCCTGCTGCATGCTGCATTTTTGGTGCACGTTTGGTGTGGTGTAAAAAAAAAAAAAAACAAAAAACCCCAAAACACCACACCTCCCCATTAAAAGAATTGAAAAATGCAACAAAGACGCTGCAAAACGCATCAAAAACACACTGCGGTTGTATTTTTGGTGCATTTTTTAATCGCAGGTCCTTTTTTCACAGGTGCAAAACGCCATGGATATGTGGCAAAAACGCATATGCATTTTTATTGTGTTTTTACAAAGGAGCAGTGTGAAAGCAGCCTTACTAAAAGGAAAAGCAACAGCTTGCAAAATAATTTACATCAACACACAAAATGCCAACAATAGCACCCCCTAGTGGTAAACACATTATTGGTTGGTTGAAAAAAAAAAATCCTACTACTGCTTTTCACTACAATGCACAAAAACTTCAGCATGTTCAACTGAATGAGCTGAATATTGTTTAAGATGTGGATGTCAACTTTCCACTCCACCAGCATTCTGTTAGGTTGCGCAGGATGTGATAATGACAGCCAAAACATGCAAGATGGGATGCTGAGCACCACCAGAGCAGGCAGGAGAGGAGATGGTTTGGCTTCTGGCTGACAATGGGTATCAGCAAAATCATTCTGGTCTAAAAGTCAGATTATTTCTCCTTAGTGAACAAATAGTGAGCAGAAAGTAGAAGCAGGAAATTGTCCATGAAAAATACTGTAGCAGTGAGGTCATATTGTATGCCACTGCCACCATCCTCCTTTTGTTGGACTTTTAATGGTATACAGTATGTACAGTGCACCTCTAACCAATATTACTTATTAAAAAAAAAACTGGCACTGCAATACAATCAAGTACCTGCAGGTGAATGGGTAATGACAGTTTTGTTTTAGTGCCTCTCAGACACAATAGAACCTGGAACGCCCTTTTATACAAATACCAATTACAGCATGCAATGCAGGTACAACTTTTTTTTTTTTTCATTTTGGTTTTGGATAGAGTAAGGTAGGGTTACAGGTACAAAAAATGGCCACTGTCCCAATCTATAATCGGCCTTCACAGCAAGGAGCACAAGGAAGAGCGACGCATGTCAAAGAAAAGAAAAATTCCCAGCTCAACTTACCGACTAGCTTGCAAACAAACCAAATTGTACTGTCTAACAGTTTGCATTTAAAAACAGAGGTTTAGTTAGCACAAATTTGCAAATACAGGCATAAGCTGCAGAGCCTCTTCACGGCACCCCGATATTCTGCAGGTAGGGTTATAACCCGTCTTTTTTTTTTTTTCTTTTGCCATCTGCATCCAATTAGGGAGACTTACCTTAAATTTCCTGTCATACAACTAATCCCTGCAAATTAAAGGAATCCATTGGGGCACCAAGGTCATCAGAACTAGTGTCTCCATTGGAAGATTTCTCCTCTATTACTGTTCTGGGGACAACCCAAAATTTGAAAGTTTGCTATACTAAAAAAGCAGATTGGAATATTTACCTCAACTGCTACCTGTTCCGGATAACACTGCTCTGCTCCAGTGTAATCCAATTTGAAGTCTCTTACAAATCTGACACCTTCCAGGGTTGTTCTCATGTGTCCCGCACAGATCAACCATCAATTCATAACTGTGGAGGTTGGTGGGTGGAGCCATTCAGCGCAAAGGGGAGCACAACAGAATGACACTCCGTGATGTGTCGAGTTTCTGAAAAAGCTTTACCCAGAAGTTACTTTGCAGTCTAACCATACCAGAGAGAGCTGGAGAGGCAAGAATCATTTGCAGGCCTGGACTTTTTAAATGAACCAAATAAGCGTCAAAGTTGCCTGAAGCATTTACACCATCCACCCATAGGTTCAACAAAATTGTAATTGATGAAAATGAAAAAATCCAGTAAAAAACAAAACCAATGCATTTTTTCTTATTTTTTTTAATCAATTTTTCAAACCCTGGATGTTTATTCAAAATGGAGATAATATAATTCAGAGCAAACAGGTTAACTGAGACATTGCGGTGAAATGAGGACACCATATGCATTTTACAACATCAATGGCTTGGCAACAACAGACTGTCTCTAGTCATGCTTGGCTACCATTTTAGTCTGCACTGCAGATTAGCTGGCATAAAGTTTTTACATTTGTAACAGTGGGCCCTCGCTAACACATTAAATGGAGAGGAAAAGAAAAAAAAAATCTCCAGTACACACAAATAGATGTATTATTGATCAGTGAAGCACAGAAAAAAAGGTTTAAAAAAAAAAAAAAAAAAAAAAGTGGTTAAACGGAAGTACACTCACACAAGAGCAATAGACACACGTACAGGGGCAGACTGACCATTCGGGCCCTTGGGGGGGCATGGAGAGGGGTGGAGCCTGAACATGGCGGCACAGGGGAGAGTGTAGCTTAGCACTCTCCGTGAGCCTTCCCCCCCGCTTACCTCCCTATGAAGTCTCGTAAGAGGTACCAGCTGCTCTGAAGGCAGTGACTCACCTGGAGAGAGACGGGAGAGAGCCGGCGGAGTCCCGGGGACGGTCGGAGCCGGCGGAGTATCGGGAGGGTGCTGCATGAGAGACACCTCGGGGTCTTCCCTCCTACCCTTCTACAGCGGCGGCTAGAGTGGAGTGGGGTTGCCTAGGAGACGACCGGCCGGCCTGGAACTGAGTGAGAGCCGGGGGGAGAGAGACGCCTCGTGGTCTCAGCTGATGTCTGGCGTCTCGCAGCGGCGGCTTAAGAGGAGGAACAGGGTTGACAGGGAGACGTCAGTGGGTCAGCTGGGACATTGGAGAGTCGCTGACACCGACCCCGACACTGACTCCGACACGTAAGGAGCTCTGGGAGCCCTGAGAGAGAGGGAATGTCCGGCATCTCAGCAAGTGGGTAAACCAGCTGAGGGTAACAGATATACTGTCCCTCAATAAATATAATATATATACGAATATACCATCTCCTTGCCTCCTATATCCAACCTTTCTCCACCCTAACTCTACACCAATTCCATCATCTCCATATCAGTTATAATTTTACAGCTCCATAAGCATATAATCTCATGCTCATTCTTATGAAACAGCTAAACATCTTAACCCCCACTCTACTCCTTTCTCTATTTTACTACTAACTTGCATACTAACTCTAATCGAAGGGGGCCTGTAATGTAAAGGGAGGATAAGCTGCATGAACTACGACAGACCCCTAGGAATCCCTTCAAGAGGAGACAAGACAAGCGGACTTAAACGCAGAGGAGGACTGTTTCTGAAGTGAAGTTCCAACGCGGTGGGTGAGTGAGGACCGTGGTTTTATTCTACAGGCCCTCTTTTACACTGCATATACATTGGCTTTATATAGTAGACTTTTATATATTCTGAATTCCTGCACTAGATTGTGAGGTGCTTGGAAAAAGAACTGAGACTAAATACTCAAACAGAAAATAAAAGAAATAGGGGACTCCTGGGACAGGGCTGAAGATTGGAGGAGTAAATGATCAGGAGTTCCAGGAAATAAGAGTTAAAAATTCCCAAACTACAACATGAAAGGTAAAAATATCAAAGGGAGTGGGTCTAAGAACACCCAAACCGGTACGATTAAGAAGTATGTGTCACAAGGAAATGTTACCCCAGAAAGAACCCAGGGAATAAGTGAAAAAAGTGAATCGGAAATAAGTCTGGATAACAGCCCAAGACTTTCCCTGGGCCCAGTTTACAATAGTCATATGGAAGGTATGGAATCAAGAGAGCTGGAAAGAGATATGCAACTACCTAATAAAAAAGAAATGGAGGAGATGTTTAAAGGTTTGGAAAAATCAATAAAGCAAGAGATGGGGATGATTCGGGAAGATCTGGGACAATTACTAACTAGGGTGGAGGAAATGGAGGAGAAGGTACAAGCCCAAGCTCAGACCATCCCAAAATTAGAGAAATGGATAATTGAAGATAGAAAAGAACATAAGAGAATGCTTTATAGGATGGAAGAACAAGAAAAATAGAGAAAGAAGAAATAATATCAGAGTTAGAGGAGTACCGGAATTGACACAGGGGGAAGATCTAAAAGAGCTATCTGGTAAAATCTTGAACTTTATAATGGATAAATCGGATGAGGAGATGTTTAAACTGGATGAAGTATACAGGATTGGGAAGTACCAACAAGGAAATGGGGTAGAAAAACCAAGAGACATAATTGTTAAATTTCACAACTATGGAGATAGAGAAAAGATATGGAAAAAGATCAAAGGAAGATCAAATATTACATATGGTGGGAAAAATATCCAAATTTTTGCAGATTTGACAGCAGAAACTTTTGAGAAGGAAGAGAGCATTGAAACCCCTATTGGAAACGATGAAAAAACAAGGAGTGAAATACAGATGGGGTCGTGACTTAAGCTTAATTGGGTGGAGGGATGGAATAACAGCTATCTTAAGATTCCCGGAGGATATGGAAGAATTTTGTGACAAATTTGGACTGCAGAGACAAGTGATATCTGGCTGGGAAGGGGAGGAGGGAGAGTTGGATATTTGTGGGACAGGAAAGTGGCAGCTGGTTAAAAGAGGAAATAGAGAAACAATAGATAAGGGAATATCGGGGAGGAGGGGGGGACGGTAAGCGGTCATGGGTAGAGTCGAACCCCTATAGAGGGATCAAAAGTGGAATATGATCCAAAGGCATAGGAGGCCTAGGGGGGGTGGGAAGGCGGGAGGGAGGGGGGGGGGGAAGCGATGGCAGGAGGGGAGGGAGAGGGGGGGTTGGGGGGAGGTAGGGGTGGGAGGGGGGAACGGGAAGGAGGGAGGAGGAGGGGATAGGAGTGGGGTGGGAGGGAGGGGAGGAGGTATTGGATTAATACTCTGCATGACAGATGGGATAAAGAGGAAGAGGCAATCTGGAAGAGAGATGGATTTAATTGGGAATGATGGAAGAAATACAGTTTATAACCTATAATGTGAACGGACTGAGTGGTCCAGGGAAGAGATTTAGGCTATTTAATGAGTTACACCACCATAGAGCTACGTCAGTGGTATTTTTACAGGAGACACATTTTGAGATAGAGGCAAACGTGAGGTTGAAATCTAAATACTACCCAACATGGTATTATGCAGATTCCCCAATTAAAAGAGCAAAAGGGGTTGCAATAGGTTTGGCAAAGAATATGAGATTTGAGTTGGAAGATAGAAGAACCGATCCGGAGGGGAGGTTTTTATTTTTAAAGGGCAAACTTCAGGGGATTGAGTGTACTTTAGCCAACATATACTGCCCTAATAAAAAACCGGAGATGTATATGAAAAGTTTCTTGAAAAAATTAATGGAATTTAAAAAAGGGTGCCTGATAGTAGCTGGAGACCTAAATTTCTGTATGGACCCACAAAAGGATAATACCTCTTCCGTGCAAAGAGAGGGGAGTAGGTCTCTGAGAGCTTTGAAAAAAGTGATGCATGAATATCAACTGGTGGACACCTGGAGAATAAAGCATATGAAGGACAGAGACTATACCTTCTTCTCTAATGCACATGAGATATACTCGAGATTAGATTACATCTTAATAGATCACCAACTTATAGACCATCTAGTTAAAATTGACATAGAGACAAGGACGTTCTCGGATCATGCTCCGGTAGTAATGAAAATGGGATGGGGAAGAAGGTGGACTGGAGGATTAGGGTGGAGGTTAAATGAGGTTCTTCTTTTGGATGAGGACTTAGTCCAGAAAATCGAGAAAGAGATAAAGTTATACTTTATGGAGAACGAAACAGAGGAGGTATCGATAGCTACAGTCTGGGAAAGCCACAAGGTATTTATAAGAGGAATCTTGATAGCGGCAGGAGCAAGGAAGAAAAAGGAAAGAAGAGAGAGGGTCAGTGGGCTTTTAAAAGAAATATTGGACTTGGAGCAGATTCATAAGAAGAAAATAACAAAAGATACGAGACAGAAGTTAATGGATAAAAAAAGATGAACTAGAGAGGTTGATGGATGAGGAGAAGAGAAGAGTATACAACAGGGTTTTTGAACGAGAGATATAAATGGGGAGATAGACCAGGAAGATATTTAATGAGAGCCCTGAATAAAAAGAAAAATAGGAACTATATAGAAAAGATAAAAAGTTCAAAGGGGGAGCTGGTCCATTCAAATAAAGAGATTATTAAAGTGTTTACGGAGTATTACAAACAGTTATATAATATTAGTCCCCAAGGCCCCCTAAAAGAAGCTCAAGAGGAAATCAATGAAAAAAAAAGATGACATACTTAAAAAATGCGGGATTACCAAAACTAAGTAAAGCACAGTTGAATACCCTAGATGCAGAAATCTCCCGGGAAGAAATTAAAATAGCATTAAAAGGCACAGTGGGGGGGAAAAGCCCAGGTCGGATGGCTATACAGTTAAATACTATAAGAAATTTAGTGAAGTACTGTTACCCAAGTTGGAGAAATATATGAATGCCCTGGGAGGTGGGATGGAATTGAGGAGAGAATCCCTACAGGCCCATGTAGTACTTATCCACAAGGAGGAAAAGATCCGTCTCAGTGCTCCAGCTATAGACCTATCTCATTATTGAACACAGATACTAAACTGTATGCAAAGGTGTTAGCAAACAGGTTGAGAGATCTTATGCCTGAATGGATCCATGGAGACCAGGTGGGCTTTGTACGGGGGAGAGAAGGTAGAGATAATGGCCTGCCTGAGAACCCTGATGCTAATTCAGAAAAGTAGAAAGGGAAGACCCCGGTGGTGCTCTTGTCAATTGATGCAGAGAAGGCATTTGATAGAGTGGACTGGGGTTTTATGATGGACAACTTAAAAGTGCTGGGAATAGGCGATAGAATGCGAGAGTGGATAAGTAAATTATATAGGGATCCCACTGCAATTATCACGGTAAATGGGGAAAGATCAGAACCCATTGGAATGTCTAATGGTACAAGGCAGGGATGTCCATTGTCCCCTCTGCTATATGTTTTGTCACTTGAACCTCTGCTGTCAACAATAAGAAATAGTGGAGCGGTAAAGGGAATTCAGATAGAATCCATAGAACATAGAGTTGCGGCCTTTGCGGACGACTTATTGTTCTATGTGGGGAATCCCCGAATAACTCTCCCAAATATAATGAAGATTCTGAAGGAGTACGGTGAACTATCAAATTTAAAAATTAATCCAACAAAAACAGAGATCTTGAATATTAATATATCGAAGAATGAAAAAGAAAAACTACAAAAAGAATTCCCCTTTATATGAGAGAAAAAGAGATAAAATACCTAGGAATAAAACTCACTGCCTCATCTAAGCATTTGTATAGATTAAACTATATCTCTTTGATAAATGAGATTAGAGAAGATTTTAAAAAGACTAGAAGGAGGAAACCCATCCTGGATAGGACGTATAAACCTAGTTAAAATGGTAATCCTGCCTAAAATACTGTATAGATTTCAAATGGTACAAACGGAAGTACACTATAGCAAATTACTGATAATCCTATTATGAATTCTCATTAGCTTAAATGGGTCAAAAGCTAAAAGTAAAACTGCTGGCTCTGGATAATTTTAAGTGTTGTGAGTTTGAGGGTTAGAATAAGGAGACTTATAGATGTTACAATTAAAGTGATACATTTGTTGTACTTACCATCAAACGGATAGAGTGACTTGCAATGACCTATGGCTGGAAGAGGGTCATCATCATCATCAAATTCATCAAACTCTGAATGGACGTGAGGCTGTGACTGGATTCTGCCCTCTTGGTTGGCATCTTCTGTGTAGCTTCCTTCCGGGCTAGTGAGACACAGAATGTATTTAGATGCATGCTTTAATCACTAGTACCCTCAACAAACATACACGGTCATTTCATGTGTTGGTGCAGAAGACATTAATTTGAACTACTATTTCAGTGATGTCACTCCTATTTATTAGTGAGAATGTGTTTTTTACTCTTTCCCTGTATTGTAATGGTGTTAACAAGCCACTGAAGCTATTTCGGTTGCTATCCATTTGTTAGAAAAGAACACGAAAAAAAGCAACCACCTTCCAGCTAATGATATTTACTACTCCAGTGTTCATTAAAGGATATCGCACAGTAATATTCTTCTACCAGTAGGATATCCAAAAGCCGTCCCAAGTGAGGAAAGGGATAGATACTTAACAGGAATACAGGGACAAGACTTTTCAATCCAAGGAAACAGAAGCAATCAAAACACTGCCTGTAGGACATCATGCCAAAAACTATTACACAGTTGCAGTCACATCCACCCTGTAGAATTTGGTAAACGTGTGCATTAAAGACCACCTTTACAGACCTGGTAGGTCTGATAGCAAACATGGCCCTGTGCTCTAGAAGAATGTTCAAGGGTCTGGCCACTACTGGAGGCCCCAATTCTTTTGTTTGCATCTGTGTCCAACCTCCTGAAGAGTGCCCTCCAATGAACAGCGGAGTTAATCTTTCAGTCTGCATTTCGGGTACTCTGATCAAATTTGAAATTTAAATAATTCCAAGCATCGGCAAGTTATATATAGCTGTAAGCTTGATGAGTTCATGATGTTTCTTGGTCTAAATTCATATAATCTGAAGTTCACAATGTCATGTGACCAGGCAAGGGATTTTCTGGATATTCAGATTCAGTTAGGTCATGATGGTCATTTGATTTCAGACTTATATCGAAAGCCCTCTGCAGCCAATACGATCCTCCACTCTGAAATCGCTCACCTGAGTCCATTGAAAGAAAGTATACCATACAGTCAATACTTAATACCTAAACTAATCTGTAGCAGGGAGGAGGACTTTTTCCATGCCAAACAGCTTCAAATACGACTATTACAGAGGGGCTATAGTAGGACCTGTTTAAAAAAGAGCCTTTAACAAAACAAAATCCAGGTCTCATGATTCTCTTATCTACCGTGTTTCCCCGAAAATAAGACACCGTCTTATATTTTTTTTGGCTCAAAAAAACACACTAGGTCTTATTTTCATGGTAGGTCTTATTTTTTAAATGTCCAGGTGTGGACAGGGGTTGCAGAGGTGAGCTGCAGGCCGTTGTGGATGAGGGTTACTATAGAGAGGGCCAGCTGATGACAGTTGTGAGCTGCAGTCAGGTGTTGCAGGGGTGACTTGACAGGCGAGTTTCCGAGAGGGTGCAGATATGAGCCGCAGACAGGGTGCAGGGGTGAGCTGCAGACGTGGGATGCAGAGGTGAGGCCAGGGGGTGCAGAGCTGAGCTGTGGCCAGGGGGTGCAAAGGCAGGTTTCAACTCAGCTCACCTCTGCACCCTGTCTGCAACTCACCTCACTCAATTTACCTCTGCAACACCTGACTGCATCTCACCTTTAAACATCCTTCCCTCCCCCTCCACTGCCCTCTTATGGTTAGCTAGCTTTGCAAAACACAGCTGTCAGCAGCCGGCCCCTCTCTATAGTAACTCCTGTTTCGGGTCCTATCTTCCCACACAGTGCACCAAGCGCACTTACTCACTGCTCCACCTCTTCCCCACTTGCTGGTGATCACCCCTGTGGCATCGGCTTACATGAATTATGCTGCAGGAGGAGATTCCCCACCCCTAAACACACTGCACCCGCAGATATCTGTTCCTTCCCTGTCCCACAGTGAGTACAGAGGTAGGGAGGTTCTGTGGGAGCGGATGGTGCTGTCACTTCAGCCACGCTTCTGTGTTTATAAGAGACAGTAGATATGGGTGTGCGCAAGGCCAGTGCCGGAGGAGGGGGAATGGCGTTCCGCCATGTTTCAGCTGGAAAAAAGCCCTAATCACAACTAGGTCTTATTTTCGGGGTAGGCCTTATACTTTAGCAATTTCCAAAAATAGCACTAGGTCTTATTTTAGGGGAAACAGGGTATACGAAAAAAAAAAAAAATCTGTAACAAGCAATAACACTCGCCGCATTACACAGTATTTCCAGTAGCTTTCTCAAGTAGCATAGATTCTACAACAGCACTGGCACTTACTAAAAGAATCCGATGGTGGCAAAATATATAGGACCCAAACCACAAATTACTTACCGTCGATCCAAATCACTGCACGACCATCTTATACATAGTCATTTAAGCAACAGTGCATCTTTCTCTCCCATAACCAGGCAACATAGGGGTACATCTAGATGCGGCAGATGTAGTTTTTGTAGTTGGATCTCAGTAGGCAATAGTGTTTCCCTACCTAATGGACAATCTTGAACTCCAAGCTGTGAAATTAATTGTCAAACTGTCGGTGTGGTGTATTACATGAAATGCATATGCAAAGCACTTTATGTGGGTAAAACAAAATGACCCTTTTGGGAAAGAATTCAAGATCATGTTTACCTAATACAGAGTGGCAAGATTTCATAGCTTTAAGGCAGATTCTATTAAATTATTTTCCTTGGAACATGAAGAAGCATCACAAAGAGGTGGTGACACAAACAATCGTCTCCTCCAGGTGGAGACTAAACAAACTTTCCAGCTGGAGGTGACCAAGCACTCTGGAATCAATGAATATATTTGTTTCAAACCCTTCCTATGAATACATCCTTTCAGAAATTTAAGTAATGTTTGACTTAAGCTGTATTGAACTGTGAGCCATGTTTTATATATCACACTCTGAAAACAATTCACATTGTACAAATATGTTTTTCAAATATGTTTTTCAAATATGTTCTTGCAGTGGCATATGTCATTTGGGACAGACATATGCTTGTAATAAATGGTGGATTGTAGCCCAGAGTTAAAGCAACAATTCCTGGTGAGGTTTTGCCATGGTCAACTGTGGGGAGTGTAGCTGTCCGTAGGTGCATGTCATGAGTTGCGATGAGGTCTACTGGATATGGAAGTCAGCTTTATCATGTTTTATGGTTATCTTTATATGATTGCTGATGTTGTACCATACACCTGGAATGGGTGTTGATTGGTGTTGCAATTGTGGATGCCAACTCATGATGCGCCCTTATGTGCACATTTATGAGGATTTGGTTGTATATTATACTTTGATACGCAAGAATGGCACCATCTTGTGGCCAGACAAACCTGACTTCTAGAGCACTGACTGTTCCGCCCTGGCTCGCTCTCTCCATGGAGTTTTACACTCCAAATTGTGTGGTCCAATGTCGGTGTGATTTGTTCTCTGGATTGGATGTTACTCGGGCAGGGACTTCTGATTACCCACCCTGCCATCACTGCACATGTGCATATATTAGGCACGTGTGGTGACACATCCACCCACGCCTGCGCAGTACCGATGTCCGGACACCGGCAATGGCATGGTCGGAAGTGGGGAGTCCATCTTTCCCATATATAACCCTGCAGTAAGTTGGACAGGGCTGCAAACTTTACCCCACTGGACGCGTTGAGGTCATTCTTAGCCACATCACCCACCTTTGAAGGTAAACCTTTATGTATAGTGGGAGGGATCTTTTTCATGGGCTATACTGGAAGTATGGGCCCTGTTTACCCTTTACTTTGGAACTTTTCTTCTTGTTTTTGGCCATAGGTGATACTGGGCCTACCTTATGTAACATGTGGACAACTCTTCATGCGCTTACTCTTATGGTTAAGCTCCAATACAAATGTGAAGTATCCCATATCACACAGGTAGTCCTCTCTTACATGGTTACAACGCCTCTTTTTATGGTTTTGGTGGTGTTTCGGATGTGTTCGTATATGTCCCTCCTATATTACATTTTGTGCTTTATTTTGTCTAGTATTTCCGAGGGACTACTAGTGGAGAATGGTTTATGGTCTCCTCCCCTCCTTTATCTTGCCCACCACTTCATTCGGCATAGACTTATGGGCACAATACTTACCTCACATGTTGTATCATCTGACCATCAATCTCACCAGTTGTGTTTTGGGCATCCACCAAATAGCTACTAAGCACCCTTTAAGGGTTGAGATATAAGTGGCTGTACACTATTCATATAAGCATTATCTGTGTATTCTTTGTATATTAGTTTATGTGTATATATTATTCTGTTTTTTTTCAGCAACCCCTGAAGAGGCTTAATGTGAAACACAATGGGTTAACGCCTACATCAAGTGCACTTCTCTTCCTCTTGGTTATAGAAATATGCTGCATTTTATGCAATATGTACCATCTTAAATTTTATGCAATATTATTATGTGTGTATACATGTGTGGGGGAAGTGTGTTTGGCAGGGATGGCAAAACTGAATTCTATAGGCTTGTTTTTAGGGGTTTTGTACCACAAAATATTTTAATAGAAAATAAACATTGTGTTTTATAATTTGAATCTTGAGTATATTTCTCAGAGGGATAATCTCGGTTCCACTACAATCCCAATACTTTTTTGTTTTCATTTATACATAGCTACATTGGTCCAGCTTGGACCAATGTAACCATGTACAGTACTGGGGAAATGTTTTAGGCAGGTGCGAAAAAAGCTGTAAACTAAAAACTTTCAGAAATAGAAGGGTTAATAGTTTATTTTTTTTATCAACAAAATGGAAAATAAATGAACAGAAAAGAAATCCAAATCAAATCAATGCAAGAGTTCCTAGAATAATTGAAGAATTAATGCTGCTTTGAAGGCAAAGGGGGTTCACACCAAATATTGATTTGGAGTTCTCTTTTGTTCATTTATTTTTATCAATTACAAAATAGCAAGTAAACGAACAAGAGAAATCCAAAAGCAGTATTTGGTGTGATCACCCTTTGCCTTCAAAACGGCATTAATTCTTCAATTATTCTAGGTACACTTGCACAGTTGCACTGGACCAAATTAGACTATGTATAAGATGTCAGTGCCTTCCAATGTAAATAAATCCAAAATGCAGGACAATGAAACTCGTCATAATGCATGGTTTCTTGGTGTAAAAGAACTCTAAAGTCAGCCAAAGATGATGTGATTGTCTATCCTGCAGGAAAGAAAATTACTCGATTGCTCTATTATCAAAAGTCCCTTCCGTGGAGCTATTGTGTTCTCCTGGCGGGGAGGCGCAGGAGGGAGCAGTCCGCAAAGAGAACACAGTGATTATTGCTAGCAGCTATAACTTCTGGCAATAATCGCATGAAAAATCCAACAGGCCGGTGTACCCAAGTCGTACAACAATTGAATTGGGTACAATCAGCCTGCCATAGATGGTTCAAATCTCAGCCAGTCCCTGTTGAATCTTTGACCAGCTTAATACTTGTAGCTTGAAAACATTACTTCAGCAAGCAACATTCGTTTGAAAATAGGTTAACAAAGCCCCTGGGTCTCATGCTTGTAATGATCCTACAAGACTCTGCTCAGAACAGATGAGAGGGGCAACAAAAAAATTCAAGTACAGCAAACCATTACCAAAATCTGAAGACCAGACCCACAATAAGGAAAAGGGACATGCAAAATTGCACAACTGAAAAAAAAAAAAAAAAAAAAAAAAAATCAATATACAACACCATGTGTATTCTTACAGCGGAGTTCCAGACGTTTTTGTGTTTATTAAAAGTCAGCAACTACAAAAACTGTAGCTGATGACTTAATAAACATATATGAGGGTCTAGCGGTGTCCCTTTTCTTCTCCACGGCACCGGCATCTCAACTGTGGGCACCAGGCCGTGACAGATTGCGGCTTCACAGCCTGGTGACCACTGCGCATGCGTGAGTTGCAATGCGCCTCCTGATGGTCCGGCAGTCTTCTGGGACCTGAGAAAGTTCCAGGAGACTGAGGGAGGGAGGAAGGAAGGAGCCAAACTTCTGGCTCACTTTGCCATGGCGAACTGAGCCAGAAGTGGGAGCATGTACCTGTCAAAACCAGGTACCCGCTACCCCCTAAAAGGTGCCAAATATGGCAGTGGAGGGGGGAGGAGCCAAACAAGCAGAGCTTTTTGGGTGGAACTTCTCTTTAATATTTGTGTCCTTTAAGTATTTCTTCCAAATATGTGCAGTAATCTAGCATGACAACATGTGCACTCTGTGCAGGAACGTCCTGTAATAAAACTGATCACTGCTGCTATCCATCCTTGAGCAGGGTGACTGGTCTTGTATCTGTAGTTTTCTAAAGCAGACTGTAGTTGCTGGACCTGCTTTAGGGACCCCTGGTCTTCTCTGTCCACACACACACACGCACACACGCCCCACCTATGATGGGCAGAATACACCCAACAGGGAAAGAAGCTTGGCACAGCAGCACGTCAGTCATACTGGCACTGCAGGCAAGTTTGCCATGAGTGTGAATCCTTCAGAATACAAAACATCACCGCATTTATTTTCAAATCAGTAATTGGTAAGATAAAGATGTATGTTATGTTTGCCTAAAAAAAAAAAATCTATCAAATCCTTCAACCCAATAACTGCTGAGGAAGAAAAAAATAAAATATAGTATCCAATGCACATACATCTGCTCTCTGCACAGTATAGTTTGACATCACTGCTACTCTTACAAAACAATGTCATATTGCAAAGGCAAATTGTGCAAAGGCATTTGTTTGCAAAGTGAATCGTATATAGTGAATACAGTATTTACAAGAATTTTTGCCTGGGGTTCAGCCTTAATGACTATTCAAAGCAATAAATGCAATACAGTGGGTAAAGTTCCACAGCTAGTTCATATCAGATATTAACCTCTCTCTTCCTTGTGCTACAAGGTGGTTAGCCTCCGCACTGTGCCTCCTCTCACTCCTTTGTGATACTTTGCCTTCCACCTCTGATAGCCAAGCCTGCAAAAGGAAAGAAGAATTTGCATTTTTATCTGCATGTAACAGACCTATGATCAGAGCAGTCCTTTTGTCTTTCACGTTGAGTAGAAAATTACTCTTAAACACAGCTAAAATCAAGAGGACTTTTTTAATGAACAAACAAAATGATATTCAGGGTATTAGATTTCATTAGATTTCCATCATGCAAGAGAATACATGTTAAATAAAAGAGGCAAGTAAAAGCACCTACATTTTGAAATAACGCTGTAATGAAAATGTGGAGACAGATATGCTACTCTTTTCTAGCCCCTGAGTTGCGTTGCATGTCTGAGGCAGTTTTAAATGTAACTATTCCAAAACAATAAAAAGTGACATCCCCCTTTCAGTACACACTGCACATTATGCAACACCTCTACATGGAACAGACTCATACCTAGCAAGCAGAATATGAGCCACACAAGTTCATAGGTCTTCATATAGATTAAGTATAGAGACACACAGGCACTGCCAGTGCTTGCCTTGAGGAAGTTCTTGGAGCCAGAGACAGTCGCTAAATAGCAAAGTGGCCAACTCCTTGCTAACTTCTGTGTCAGAGTCGTGCATCAGGGAGGGGTGCCCTGTCCAACATTGCAGCTAGTATTTCAGGGCACCTAAGAAGATGGGTAAAGTATTAAATATACTTTTTTTCCCCATCACAACGTAATGTAAGAAAACCAATTCCACAAAAAAAACAAAAAAAAAACAAAAATGGCACGCAAGATGTTCACATCCACAAAAGGCATGCGCACAAACTTTCATGCAGTTTTCTAGTTCTTCCCCGCCCTAACCAAAACTAAAGGAAAAGCGTTGACTATAGATGAGCTTTAAGTAGCTATTAAATAAAGGCACCTGAACTGGTGGCATCAAAGGTAAAGTGGAAAGATGACATGACCATCTGTGTATACTGCAGATATATCGTATCCATGTGTCCAGAAATAAGCTCTATAGATTATTCAAATATGGCACCTTGTTCAGTGCAAGTACAACTACTAATGCCATTGCAAAAATTCTTAATATCTCTAGTACCACATGGTTAATGATGTGGTTGTCATAATTAGGCTGTCAATTCAGGGGAAAAAAAAAAAAAAATAGGAATTTTGACATTCCTTTGAATTACATATTTTGGAGTACAGTACAGGGCACAGGAATCTATTCCTAGACCACAGGTCATATGCCACTACCTTCAGATAACCGAACACTGGCAAAAACTTTGCTGGGACCACAAGCCGAGTGTATCCATATAATCATGTCCGCTACATCAGACTCCAAGTTTTAGCAAGCAATAAGGAGATCACAGAGAAAATAAGGGAGGGACCTGTTTCCTGTACTCCAAAGTTATGAATTTTCAAGCAAGTCAAACTTTCGATTATCTTCATTGCACAGGACAGAGGAATTAAGACCTCTTAGACCATGAGACATCTCAAAGCAATAATTCAAGGGGTGGGCAAAAAAAAAAAAAAAAAAAAGCCAAAAGCAGCAGCAACCGACCCATCAGAAAAACAAGCAGGGTCAGCGGACCCGAACAGACTGTTGTCTCTGATAGAATGGGCTTAGGGAGGAAAGAAGGGACTCGCTCCCTGAGGGCAGAAGCCCTAGTAAAACAAAAAAAGGGGGCAACAGAAGGTTGGTTAGTAAGTTTTCCTTGAAATTTATTCTGGAGGTTCTCTAGAAAATAAAGAAAGGTACAATCTGGTATCCACATCTGCAAAATTTTCTAGATTGAAACTGAACACCTGTAAATTTTAAAATACTACTTACAAAAAAAATGGAAAAAATTAAAAAATGTTTTAGCTCAATTTCTTTTCAGTTCCGTTACCTATAATGAACCTTTATATGGATATGCCAGTTGAATTGCAAGTCATTTTTGTTTATTTCAGGTTTTTGATAGAGAGAGGGATTGTTAGATTTTAATGTGTCGCTGTAGGGAAGATGTTACTGTACTTTCTGTTGACCTTTCTTTCCTGTTCTTGATGACCAAAGATGAATCTTTCTGACTCAAAACTAAAGAAAACTAGGCCAGAATTCTAAAAAAAAGCCTATGAACAGATAGCTACAGAACTGGAGGATCGACAAGTAGGTACATTCTTATGCTATCCCAGTAATGGATAAGCAAGTTAACAAGTGTATGTGCATCACCTTGAAAAATGTTTCTTCATGTAATGCATTTGTTCAAACTGTATATAGTGATCTTCTTTGAATTTCCCTATTTAGGAAATTCAATTGCAGCCTCTACCAACTTTGGTATTTTTTTTTTTTTTTTTTTAAACAAGGAACCCTTAAAATAACTTCTGGGTGTCAGGGAACCCCTGCTAACAATTACAGCTCACTGTACATTGTACACTGGAATGAACAAAGAAATTGACATACTTGGATTATTTGACACCCAGGGCTGCTCTGTAGAGCAAAATAATTCAGTAATACAAATAAAAGTAATAAAAGTAAACAAATAAAAATGGTCAGAAAATAAACTAATGTTCGCTCACATTGGTAGACTGTGGAAAGTGGCCCTTACATTGGTTGTCAGTGAAGAGCTCCCTTACTTTGGTGGCCAGTGGGAGAATGATCACCTTACATTGGTGATTATGGAGAGAGAGACCCCATTACTCTGCTGGTCACTAAGAATGTCCCCCCCTAAAGACAGCTATAAAGTGTTGACCATTGGTGTCAGTAGTTATTTATCTCATAGGAAGAAATTGCCTATTAATCAAGGAGCCACTGGCAACCTCGAGAAACCCTGATTGAGAAAGGCTGTTCTATAGGAACCATCACTGTGAACACAGGAACAATGACTCTTCTAATGCAATATATATTGATTTGTCATACTAACCTCATTTTTATGAATTTCCATCCTCAGCTTTTCAATGTTACTCATTGTCTCTGCTATTTTTGGTTGCAAGCTGCCAGGGTCTCCCATTTGTGGGCTCTTCTCATACACATCTTTCATTTTATTTAGAGCCTCTCTATGGTAAGAAAGAATCAACATTATGCATTCTGGTTTATTCCTCTGCAATATTTACAGATTGTTAGCAAACTACAAATCAAACAAACAACTTGAGCACATGATATCTAAGGTGGAGTTAACAGATAAAAGGCAGACTCCAGTCAATACTGAAAATAAAGCCTTAAAAGGCACCTAGAGAACACAGCCTACATCCACGGCATTCCCATTTTGCTGAAATCCATGCCAATCTTTTTGGTAAAGCCATGTTTATAATGTCAGAAAGGAATATTTAAAAACATACTACTTTAAGCTCATGTGTACGCAAAGCCTGATGCATCAAAGTGCAGAACTCTCAAATCTGACAGCTTTCTCACAGCCACTTATTTTCAAAAAGGTTTTGAAAAAGTTTGAATGTGACTGGTGCAAAGAATATGAAGTCACATACAGACCTACCATCCATAACGGTATCTAAGAAAAATGGATGTAGTATGTTATACAGAGCTATTAAGCTAAACCAGTTTTTTTTCCAAATTTAAGCACAGCCACAGAGTTTGTGTCTTGGTGAAATCCTAAAATGCTAGCTTTTTTTTCCTGTCCTGTATAGGCAATGTGCACAGTGTTGAAGAAATCACCATAAAAATAGAGATAACAGCCCTAGGAGCTCCAAGGTCTCTTTCTAAAGTGCTTGTATAGAGAGGTTTATACAAGAGCAGTGGCAAACATGCACAGCACAAATTATCTAGACAGAAGTGGGAAAAAAAAAAAGGGGGTCCACTTAGGCACTGAAGCTGGGCAGAGAGAAAAGGGATCATGTCCTGGTTGGGGTAGAAGTCAAAACCACATAAGGAAGTAAGGCGGTTGCATCTCAACAACACCTCATACCCATGTAGAACCAGAGAGGGTACACTCTACAGGAGAGCCTACCAACTCAAAACACACCACCACAAGTTTGGGGAAGAGCAGACAGGAGCACCAATGGGGGATCCCAGAAGAGGAGTTTTGGGGCTGCTCTGCGCAAAATCATTGCACAGAGCATGTAAATATGACATGTTTGTTATTTTAGTGGAAAAAAAAAATTTAAGTTTTACAATCACTTTACGTGTGCCTGGAGTACCACAATAGAACAAAGTAATAAAGGCAACACACTGCATATTATATTAAAGAATTCCTAGGGTTTTCCTGTCAAAACTTCACTGCTGAATGTAATGAAACCAGTAAGATCATAAATTTATTTCAGGTACTTATATAGCGCTGCCAATTTACGCAGCGCTTTACATAGCCTTTAAACTTTGAAATATGCAACAGTAGCCTGCAGCAGTCCCTTGATGAGGACACACAGGAAGGTATAATAAAGAACTTACAAGTCACAATGTCACTTACTTTTGATCAATTTCTTTTTGAAGCTCTCGGTTTAATTCATCAATTCTTTGCTGCAGTTTCTTCCGTCTTTGCTCAGGAGGAAGGTGACTAAAATCTTCTAAAGAAGGCCCCTGTGTGGATGAAAACTTGAGTGAACAGCGGGAATGGAAAATTGAGCCGGACAAGTAGAACACTCCATGACACAGCAAACAAAACACGTTTGGCCAGCAGAACAAACATTGTCTCAAGCCTGATCCCATGGCAAATTTTACACCAACAAAAGCACAAAAAAAATAACAATGTGCGTAGATCCAGTGTAATGAAGAACTTGTCCAGTATTAAGAATTTCATAAGTTTGGTCAGGTCTCAGGTCTACTAATGTTACTGTGCTGCAGCCCCAACATTTCATGAGAGCTAAGAACATCACTGAGGCAAATTTAAAAGGTTCAGGAGCTATGCCACCAGCCATTAAAAGCAAACAGTATACAACTATTAGTCTCACCCACAGAAACTGCACGCAAAAAAACTTAATTCTGGCAAATTTTGAAATATAAAACACCAAACAGCTGCACTGAACCAACCACAAATCCTGAAGAGACTAGCTGTAACATCCAGTTGATATGGGCAAATGTCTATTCTCCACAATAAAGCTCAACCCTACCCAGGGCCATGACTGACTTTGACCAAAGCAGTGGTTCTGTAAATTGCAATATGAAATCATACAGGGGGCACCAAAGCAATCTATGCGGCTCTTAAATACTACAGTGTACCAAGTCTCAAGAAGTTGACCTTGAACAACCACAGCTTCTTTGCGAACAAATATGGAATCTGGGGTTGTGCCAAAAACACAAGGAGGACCAACGTGACTAGCGTGTGTAGCATCACCCCAGCTTGTGTTGGAAATATTCTGTGTAAGATTCATTGCTCTAATGTTCAAGACAGGACATTAATTAGCAAAAGCTAATCCATTATGCTGATAATTTAAAAGCATAATACATACAGTTGTGACCAAAATTATTCAACCCCCAATGCTGTAAAGGGGTTTAGGGACTATAGTGTACATTTGGAATTGTATTCAGAATCAAATCCTACAAGGACGTTTGTAACTACCCAAATGCAACTAAAATGACATCAATTGTTTATGTAATACAGTAGTAAATGGTTCTTATGTGGTTTCTTCATTGCCACAATTATTCAACCCCTTAAAGACTACCACTCTGAAGAACAGAGGTTCATACAGGTGCTTTCCATCAGGTATTGAAAACACCTGTGGATGTCACCGAGCAGCAATCAAGCATAATAAGCACCAATTAGGCAGCTTTAAAATGACTGTGATACTCAGCTCCTTCTAGACATTTACTGGTGTGGTTACAAACATGGTGAAGGCAAGAGAATGGTCCAGGAAGACAAGAGAAGAGGTGATTTCTCTTCACAGGAAGGGCAATGGCTATAAGAAGATTGCAAAGATGTTAAACATACCAAGAGACACCTTAGGAAGCATCATTCGCAAATTCAAGGCAAAGGGCACTGTTGAAACGCTACCTGGTCGTGGCAGAAAAAGAAGATGCTGACTTCGACTGCTGTGCGCTACCTGAAGCGTAGAGTGGAGAGAAGTCCCCGTGTGACTGCTGAGGAACTGAGAAAAGATTTGTCAGATGTGGGTACAGAAGTTTCAGCCCAGACAATAAGACGCACACTGCGTAATGAAGGCCTCCGTGCCAGAACTCCCAGGCGTACCCCCTTGCTGTCTCCAAAGAATAAGAAGAGTCGACTGCAGTATGCCAAAAGCCATGTGGACAAACCACAAAAGTTGTGGGGATAGTGTTCTGTGGACTGATGAAACAAAATTAGAACTGTTTGGGCCCATGGATCAACGCTATGTTTGGAGGAGGAAGAACAAGGCCTATGATGAAAAGAACACCTTGCCTACTGTGAAGCATGGTGGAGGGTCAATCATGCTTTGGGGCTGTTTTGCTTCTGCAGGTACAGGGAAGCTTCAGCGTGTGCAAGGTACCATGAATTCTCTTCAGTACCAGGAGATATTGGATGGAAACGTGATGCAGTCCGTCACACACCTGAGGCTTGGGAGACGTTGGACCTTTCAACAGGACAATGATCCCAAGCATACCTCCAAGTCCACTAGAGCATGGTTGCAGAGGAAAGGCTGGAACATTTTGGAGTGGCCATCGCAGTCACCAGACTTAAAATCCGATTGAGAACCTCTGGTGGGACTTAAAGAAAGCAGTTGCAGTGCGCAAGCCTAAGAATGTGACTGAACTGGAGGCCTTTGCCCATGAAGAATGGGCGAAGATACCCGTAGATCGCTGCAAGACACTTGTGTCAAGCTATGCTTCACGTTTAAAAAAGCTGTTATAACTGTAAAAGGATGCTGTACTAAGTACTAAGATTGAATGTCACTTGGGGTTGAATAAAACTGATAATGCTGTGAGCACAGAAAAGACATTTGTGGTTATTTCATTATAACTGTTATGTTATATTTGTCTGACCTACAAGTGCCTCTTTAATGTAAATGTAAGCAAGATGACTGAATGATCAAAAGCAATGTCAAACTGGCCAAAAAACACTCAATTTCAGTGGGGGTTGAATAATTTTGGTCACAACTGTAAGAACAAATGCAAGGGCACCACCATATGTTTTAATTGGCTCAGATCATCTCTGCATTCCCATTAAAGGCTAAATGTACTTTTCGGAAAAAAATAAAAGCAAAAACTTTTTGCAAAAAGATGTATATTAATGATTTTTTTTCCTACTCAAGCCTAAAAGCATTGCACCTGAGATTAGTGGGTGTCAGGCAATGTCAGGCTTCTGCAGATGCTTACTCCAGCTTTCTTGTCCATACCTCTGTACAGAGTCTCTGTTAGAAAGCTAGAGGAAGTATCAATGAACTCATTCTCATCAGAAACCTCATAGTTTGAGAACTACAAGCCGTCTGTGCAGTGGCAGACAGGACATACTTTCTTCATTCACAGATCCCTGTAAATGGATGATGCAGTTGTGTGTGGGCGACACCAATTTTAAAATGTGGCAGCGGGTGTGGGGAGAGGATCCCACGCCAACTGTAACAGAGGAATGGGTGAGGGAGTGTGAGTGGGGAAGAGCTAGTAGGTATTACACCCTAAATACGGGTGTAACATGTTCCAAAAGTGAACTTCGCCTTTAAGTGCCAGATAGGAAAAAACATCAATTTTATGTAAAAAGCAAACTCATCAAGAGAAATTGTTAATGTATAAAACAAATAATAAAACTGGCAAATGCTTCTTTATGTCTAAGGGAGCATTTTTCTTTTCCGTGGAGATGGGCTTCAAAAACAAGGAACCGGAAAAGAGAGTCTTGACTTACCCCTGAATTCTTTATCTTGGAGTACAGTACTGGACATAGGCAAGTATCATAAGACTCTAGGTTATAGGCTTGAAACTTCAGTTGACTGAACACTACCAAAGATTTTGAGGACACACCCACTGGGCGCCCCTCCCTATAACCCTATCCAACTGAGTCTTTAGAACAGGGGTCTCCAAACATTCTAAATAAAGGACCTGTTTACTGTCCTTTATGCTTTAGGGGGGCTGGACTGTGGCCAGCAGGAGTAGAAAATGTCCTAGTGTGAGAGGTGAGTATACCTAATCATTGGTGTCAGTGGAAGGAATAGTGCCTCATCATTGGTATCAGTGGGAGGAATAGTGCCTCATCATTGGTATCAGTGGGAGGAATAGTGCCTCATCATTGGTATCAGTGGGGGGAATAATGTACCATCACTGGAGTCAGCGGAAGTTTCCCATCATTGTTATCAGTTGGAGGAATGGAACCATCATTTCTGTCAGGAATTGTGTCCCTTTTTTGGTGTCAATGGCAGGAATTGTGCCCATTTTTTGGTGACAGTGGGAGGAATAGTACCCTACCAATGGTGCCAGAGGCAGGAATTTTGCCCCATTGTTGGTATCCGTGGCAGAAATAGTGCCCTAAGGGCCAGAAAAAGGCAGGCAAGGGGCCTCATCCTGCCCCTGGGCTGCAGGTTGGAGACCACTGCTTTAGAGGTTTGTAACAAGCAATACACAGTAACCAAGGAATGGTAAGGAGGGCGAGCGGTGTCCTCTACTGTACTCCAAGATATGGAATTTACAGACAAGATTTCTTCTCATCTTATTTGGAAAGTACAAGACACAGGCAAAGACCCTGGGATGTCCTCAAGCAATAAATGAGAACGGTGGGGAAAAATGTTGCACTTTGGGGCTAAAAACATTGATGCATTATATATCCTAAAAAAAGAACAGTTGGAGGAGTTAGTGTTGGAGAAGAATCTAGGTGTTCTGGTAGATCATAGGCTTCATAAAAATGCCAAGCTGTAGTTTCTAAAAGCAGAATACTTTCTTGCATTAATGAAGTATGGACTCCATAAAGAAAGCCATCATTTTGCCCCTTTACAAATCATTAGTAAGACCTCATCTGAAATATATAGCTCAATATTGGGCACCAGTTAACAAAAAAGGGAATCACAGACCTGGAGAAAGAACAGAGAAGGACTACCAAACTGATAGGAAGCAGGGAGGAACTAAGCTATGAGGAAAGATTAGCTGAACTGAGTTTATTTTTCGAGAACAGGGCGATATGATCAACATACATAAGTGGTCCATATAGTAAACTTTGTGTAGCTTTAATTACTTTCACGTCATTGCAGACAAGGGGGCACTCTTTATATCTGGAGGAAGAGAAATTTAGCCTTCACATATGGAAATGCTTCTTCACAGTAAGAGCTGTGAACATGTGGAATAGACTCACTTTAACCTCTTTAAGACTGACGTACATATATGTTGCAGGTGGTATAACAGGATGATGCCTGCAGCTACAGGCATCATCCTGGTGTTGTTTTGTCCCCGATAATCTTTATGGTATACGAAACCAGAAGGAGTATTTTGTCACTTCTGGGTTTGGTCTGTTTACCTGCAAGGGAAAGCTTTCAATCGAACCAATCTGAGTTTGTTCCAAAGCTTTCAAGAGCAGAGGAGACATGGAGACCCCAAATGTCTCAGTAAAAAGGACCATTGCTCATTGTTATAACAAGGGGTGTATACATTTCTTGTGATAACAAAAGTGATTAAAAAAAAAAAGGGGGGGG